TAAGCCCAGGAGTGGGATTCCTGGGTCCTATGGTAAGTCTATTCCTAGTCGTTTGAGGAATCTTCACACTGTTTTCCCCAGTGGCTGCACCAAACTGCATTCCCACCAGCAGTGTAGGAGGGTTCCCCTTTCTCCACAGCCTCTCCAGCATTTGTCATTTGTGGATTTTTGAAATATTTTTTTAATGGAGGTACTAGGGGTTGAACCCAGGACCTTTTGAATGCTAAGATGCACTCTACTTCTGAGCGATACCCCCCTCCCTGCCCAGTAACATTTGAACTTCAGATAAACAAGGGGTGATTTTTAAAGTCTAACCATGTCCCAAATATTGCACAGGACAAACTTGTACTAAAAAAAAATTGGTTTTTTAAAATTATTTGTTGTTGATCTGAAATGAAAATGTAGCTCTATTTTCCTTTGTTAAACCTGGCTAAGCCCCTCCGGGATGCCCTTCTCTTCCGGGACATCTTGCCGGGGTTCCTGCTGGTCACTCAGCAGGCCCGTCAGCCAGCCCTGGCCCTCAGCCCAGCCACTGGAGCTGCGGCTCCTGCTGCTCTCAGTGACAGCTCAAGCCTTGCATGCGAAGGTCACCAAATGTCAAGTGGGGCCCTGAGGACTCTAAAGAGTGCGTAAGTGGCTCTCAACGCCTGCCAACAGCTTTGGGGTTGTGGCTCTGACCTTGGCTTGATGTATAAGATTAAACAATTTAAAAAGCCATCTTGCCTTTCTTGCCATCTAATGTATAAGATTCCTTGACAGACGAGCAAGCAAGCAGAGAAGTCTGGGCATCGGCTGGCAGGATGTTGCCCAATGCCGTCATTCCTGGGCAAGAAGGGGCTCCTACAGCTGCAGGCCCTCTGCCCCTTCCCCGGGCAAGGCGGGGTGGGCCCTTCCAAACCAGCTGTTGCGTGGTCCACATCTGCTCCATCTTGCCTAAGTGCAGTTAGGTGATGCTGGCGGGGGCAAGGTGCAGAGAGAGGGATGGCAGAGAGGGGAGTGGCTCTCCCAGATGCTCACTGTGGGGCCCAGGAAAGGGCAGCCTGCACTGGGCACCAACCGTCCCTCCTGGGACTTCTTAGGCCTGTCTCCCTCAGCCCTGAGGCGTGGGGCAGATGCTTGGGTGATTCCTTAAACACCAAATTTTTAATTTTTTGATTAGAAAAGGTACAGGGTAGTAACTTGAGAAAAGCCGAGAAAATCCCAAGAAATCCCCAGTCACTGATGGACTCTTTAGTGCATAATCCTTCAGGTTTTTATATAAACAGATATTAGCTCACTGACTGGGCCGCCAACCTGCTGTGTGACCTTGAGAAGTTATTGAATCTCTCTGTGCCTCAGTTTCCTCATCTGTAAATAGAAATGATCATAGTCCAAGGAGGAGAGAGCTGATATTGCAGGAAATTGGCCTGAGGCTTGGCTTTATTAACCTCATTAAACAGCCCCTCCCCTGTGCAGTCCCCTACTACGTACGCATCAGTCAGAATGGGCTATTTGTGCTTCGGTAACAAATAAACCCTTTGTGGCTGATGACAAGGGGTTATTTCTTGTCTCCACTGCGTGTTGACCATGGATTGGCTTTTCCTGTGTTTGCTGACTCCTGGGTCAGCATGGAGACAGAACAGCTGTTATTTTTTATTATTAATTATTTTAACTTACTGTGGCACAAAACACAGATGCAAAGGAAGAAATCATACAAGACAAATGTGTAGCTTGGTGAATTATATAAAGTAAATCCCCTCCTAACTAGCACCCAGGACAGGAACAGAGCTTTGCCAGTCACCCAGCCCCAGCCCCAGCCGCCTTCTTTCCCTCCAGAAGTAACCACCGTCCTGCCCTTCGTGGGGATTGCTTCCTTGTTTGTTTTGGTTTGGTTTTAGTTAAACTTTTTATCTGAGGATTGACTGTAGATTCACTTGGAGTTGTAAGAAGACAATGCAGAGATCCCGGGTACCCTTTGCCCAGTTGCCCCACCGGTAACTGTGGTGCAGGAGTTACACAGCCCGGGGGCTGCTGCTGACGCGGTTGGGATACAGAGCGTTTCCATCACCGCAGAGAGGCCCTCAGGTCGCCCTGGTGTAGCCACTCCAGCCTCCCTCCCTCCCCGTGCCTCCTCGGACTCCTGACCACCACTCATCTGCTCTCCGTCTCTGTCTTTGTCATTTCAAGAATGTTCTATCCATGGAGTCGGACAGTGGGTAGCCTTCTGGGACTGGCTTTCTTCACTCAGCCTAGTTCTCTGGAGGGTCAGCCAGGGTGTTGGGTGTATCAATTGTTTGCTCCCTTTTAGTGCCAAGCAGGGCCCCCCGGGTGCCCGTGTCACTGTTTGCTGAACCATCCGCTCACAGGGACGGGCATCTGGATTCTCCCCAGCCTAGGACCGTGGTGAGTAACGCCGGACACCCTCGTGTATGTGCGTGGGTTATCTATGTGAACGCCTCCGGGATGAGCTCTCGGGAGAGCGGTTGCTGAGTCTGTACGCCTCCTTTTGTTCTCTTTTTAAGAAACTGCCAAACTGTTTTCCAAAGTGGTTGGACTATTTTATGTTCCCCAGTGTATGAGTGACCCACTAGCCCTCGGCTGTACGTGCTGTTGTCACTGTTAATTTTGGCCGTGGTGGTTTTTTCAGTTTGTGTTTCCCCAGTGGTTCTTGATGCAGACCTTTCCGCGTGCTTATCTGCCGCCTGCGTGTCCTGTCTGGTGACATGTCTGCTCTTGCCTTTTGCCCGCGTTCTAACTGGATTGTTTGCTTTTTGCTGTTGAGTTTCTAGAGTTCTTTATAACCTCTAGACTGTAGTCCTTTGTTAAATTTGTATTTGCAAATACTGCCTTCTAGCCCACAGCTTGTCTTTTTGTCCTTTTTACAGGGGTTTTCACAAAGCAAAAGTTTTAAATTTTAATGAAGTCCAGTTTACCAGTTCATCCTTGTATGGATCATGCTTTTGGTGTCAAATCTAATGACTCTTGGCCCTGCATCCCCCAGAATTTCTCCTGTTTTCCTTTTTTCAATTTTAATTTTTTTCCTTCCAGTTTTATTGTGATAAGTTGACACACAGCACTGTGTACTTTCAAGGCGTAGGGCATGATGATTTGACTTACATACACCGTGAAATGAGGACCACAGTAAGTTCGGTGAATGTACATTATCTCAGAGAGATACAAAGTAAAACCTTCTTGTGTGTGTGATGGGGACTCCTTGGATTCACTCTCTTCACACTTTCATACGTAACACGTGGCAGTGTTGTACACGACGTCCCTGGTACTTCTTTATCTTAGAACTGGGAGCCTGTACATTTCGACCCCTTTCACCCAGTTCCTTCTCTCCCCACCTCCTGCCTCTGGTAACCACGAATCCAATCTCTTTTTCTGTAAGTCTGTTTTTGAGGTATAACTGACCTACAGCTCTGTTAGTTTCTGGTGTGCAACATAGAGATTCAGTATTTCTATGTGTTATAAAATGGTCACCATGATGAGTTTCGTTCACATCTGTCACCATACAAAGATATTACATTATTATTGACTATTAAAACATTTTTATTTTTTTCTTTACTCAGAGTTTCATAGTTTTGTGTTTTACTTTAAAGCTGGTCGTCCATTTTGAATTAATTCTTGTATGTTGTGTGAGACTTGGGTTCAAAGGTCTTTCCCCCTCCTTTCGCTACCCACTTACCACAGCATCCTTGTTAAAAAGGCTGTGATTTCCGCCATTGAATGCCTTCTGCATCTTATCAGAAGTCAGCGGGGCGTACGGGAGAGTGAGCCTATGCCTGGATTCTCTGTTCTGTTCCACTGACCTGCATGTTGTCTTCTTCCTGCCCTCCAGGGGCGATGCAGCATCGCACAGTCTTGATTCATGGTAACTGTCCTACACGTTTTGAAAGCAGGTGGATGAATTCGTCCAGCTTTACTCTTTTTTTTTCCCCCGTAATTGTTTTGCTATTATAGTAGCTTTGCCTATACATATAATGTTAGAATTTGAGAATACTCTTGTCTAGAGCTACAAAAAACCTTGCTGGGACTTTAATGGGAGTTGTGTTAGACCTATGTGTCAATCTGGGAGAACTGACATTTTTGCTGTGTCGGATCTTCCCATCATGACCATACTTCTCTCCATTTATTTAGATGTTCTTTGATTTCTCTTGTCTGTGCTGTGAAGTTTCCAGCCTACAAGCCCTGAACATGCATTGTTAGATTCTACCTAAACATGTTATGCTTTGAATGACTGTAAAGAGCACTGTATATTTAGCTTTGATGTTCCTGTGTTCCTTGCAAGTACAAGAAATACAACATTTACACACAAGTCCGTTGTATCTTGTGATTGGCGAGCTCACTATTCGCTCTAAGAGTTTTTGGTAGTTTCCTTGTGATTTCCTATGTAGGCAATCATGCCATCTGCAGGTAGGGACCATTTTATTCCTTCTTTTCTTATGTGTAAGCTTCTAACTCATTTTCTTGTGTAAAATTGGTGTTCATTCTTCTTTAAATACTTGGTATCATTTTCACGTGAAACCACCTGTGCCTAGAGATTTCTTTTTTCCAGGAGTTCTTGGGTGACGAATTCGATTTCCTCAGTAGTCACAGGATTAGTCATGTGATCTATTGCATAGTGGGTGAGTTGCGGTAATTTGTGTTTTTAGATGAAAGGAAACAATTTCTTAAAGTTGTCCAGTGTCTGTGTGTACAGTTGTCCCTCATAGCCCTGTATTAATCCTTTTCACCCCCCGTTTCATTCCTGACACTGTCTCTGTTTTTCCCTTGCCCATCTTGCTGGAAGTTTGTCAATTTTCTCAGTCTTTTTGAAGAACCAGCCCTTTCTTCTGTTGGCTTTCCATGTTGGTTTTCTTTTTTTCTTTCATTGATTTCTGGTCTGTGGTGTCTCCTTCCTCTGCTTTCACTCCTGGTTTATTTTGCTCTTCTTTTTCTAGGTTCTTGAGCTGGAAACTTAGATTATTGACTGGAGACTTTTGCATTTGGCGCTGTAAGTTTCCCTCTCAGTGATGGCTGTGCCCCAGAGGTTTCAACACATTTTATTTTCGTTTTCTTTCAGTTCGGTGGGTTTTTGATTTCTCTTGAGGCTTCCTCCTTGACCCATGAGTTGTTCAGAAATGTGTTGCTTAGTTTCCAAGTCCTTGAATTCTCGTGTTATCGCCTGTGAGCAATTTCTAGTTTGAATCCATTTGGTCAGAGAACACACTCCGTGTGATTTAAATTCTTTTCCAAGTGTTAAGGTTTATTTTTTCCCAGTTTGACTGATGTGTAACATCGTGTTAGTTTTAGGTGTACAACATGGTGGTTTTACATATGTATGATTTTTAATACACACACGTGTGTGGATATGTGGGTGTATCTACATGTGGCAGATCATATATTGCAGAATGATGACCACGGTGTAGTTAACAGTCATCACCTCACATAGTGATACACTTTTGTCTTGGGATGAGAACTTTTAAGATTTATTCTCTCCTTAACTTTCAAATATATGATACAATATTATTAACTATAGTCCCCACACTGTACATCCTCAAAACTTATTTATCTTGTAAGTGGAAGTTTGTACCTTTTGACCACCATCACCCATTTTGCCCACCCCCCACCCCCACCTCTGGCAACAACCAGTCTGTTCTGTGTCTGTGAGTCTGGCTTTTTACAGATTCCACATGTGAGATCATATAGTATTTGTCTCTCTGTCTGACTTGCTTCACTTCGGACAGTGCCCTCGAGGTTCATCCATGTTGCCACAAGTGGCAATTTCCTTTTTTTAAACTGCTAAATACATTGTGTTCTATGTCTGATATATTCCATTGTGTATTTACCACATTTTCATCCACCAGGAGACACCTAGGTTGTTTCCACCTCTTGGCTGTTGGGAATAAGGCTGCTGTGAACGTGGGGGTGCTGGTAGCTTTTCAAGATAGTAATTTTGTTTCCTTTTGACAAACACCCAGAGCTGGAGTTGCTGCATCACATAGTAGTTCTAGTTTTAATTTATTGAGGAACCTCCGTACTGTTTTCATAGCGTCTACACCCATTTCTATCCCAACAACAGTGCACAAGGGTTCCCTTTGCTCCACATCTTTGCCGGCACTTGGTATCTCTTGTCTTTTCGGTAACAGCCATGCTGACAGGTGTGGGGGGATACCTCTTTGGGGGTTTTGGTTGCATTTCCCTGGTGATTAGTGATGGGAGCGCCCTGTTGCTTGATGCTATCCTGACTTTTATTATTTTTTTTTTTCTCTCAGAGGTTTGTAGGCTCCTCTCTCCATCCCTGATGTCCAGAAAGCTCCCGGTGTGACTAGGCGTTCCTCACTTGCTATACTTGGTGGGTACTCTGTTGGGAGTTGAAACTTTCCTATTTTAAAAAACATATTACAAAAAATAAATATTTGTTTTCTCTTTCCAGAACTTCTGCTGTTTCGATGTTTAGCTTCTGGATTGAGCGCCTAGTTTCTTTTTATAAAAGAGTTTTGATCTTCATTCTTTGGGGCTACATTTTGGTGAGACTTTATTAGTACCACTGGTCTTTTGCTTGTTTTAACTTTAGACATTTAAAATTCTTACGAGCTATCAACTTTTTCTGTTTCTTTGTATAAGTATCCCATAATTTCGTAGGCACAAAATTCTCTCTCATTCGCATGTTTTGCAGGTGTCCATGATGCACTGTCTGACTGTTTCTACAGAACTTCTGTCTCGAGCCTTTATTTAGACACGGTGTCGTGTTTGTCTGTTCCAGGCACTGTTCTGAAGAGCTCTACCACATGTTCACTGATGTAGTCCCTCACCCAGGAGGTGGGTGTTGTGAGTGACCTGACGTTGCTGGTCCAGGTCCCACTGCTGGGATTTGAACCCAGGCCTTTGGCTGCAGAGCCCACGATGTCTAGGGAGTGGCTGCTTCCCTCCAGGACCGGCTGGTCCTGAGCGGCCCTGTCACACTCGGGTGAGGCCCGGCCCCTGGCCGGAAGCTCTGTGTGCGGGGAGGTGGGGGTCTGCTCGTCGACTTGCTGGCCTCCACGTGGCGTTGGGAAGGGGTCCTGCAGGGGCTCTTCAGCGTTGCTGTCTGTAGGTTTCTCCTTTGTGATGACGAGGTTCCTAAGGAGAAACCCTGGAAGAGGACGGGTCAGCCTGGTGAAGACTGGCTCCAGCGTGGAGAGCTGAGTGGAGAGATGCAATATGTAGATCTTCTCTTAATCTCCTTGTTTCCACTGTGGCCCCTGTTCTTGCCTTGAGCTGTGGTTGGCATTCATGAGTTCAGGGACTTTCTGGTTCAGCTGCTCCCTGGAAGGTACTTGCCATTTTCTGCCGCATGACAGGGAGGAATGTGGGCAATCTAAGTGTTTCTTACAGACTTTCAACCCACCGTCCTGTTTTCCAGGCGTCCTCCACAGCCCGCCCTTCAGAGAGGCCTGGTACCCTGCACGGAGGCTTCCGGGTTTACGAGGCATGGGGCGCACCCTCCCCCTCCCGCCGGTGCCCTCCCTGTGGGCAGCCTGCTTTCCGTTTCTCTGCCCTCCGACGGTTAGTTATCCTTGGACGTCACTCTTCCTGCTTCCACCGTGTGTTGACATTTTCGTCTTCTGTGATGTTTCTTCTCTGCCCCTGTGGGTTTCTACATTAAAAAAATTATAATTCGATTGGAGTTTTGGGGAGGAACTGATATAAATGCATGTTTATCTGCCATGTTTACTACTTTTAAAAGAAGGAAACACTTCATCCTTAACAACAGCTCCAACCTAAGCATGGAAACGAAGATGTCTTGAAAAATAAGGCACAGAAATGACAGGTTTTCAGGAACAACACAGTGCCTGGCGTGTGGTAGCAAGTCATGTGTCATCTTTATGAGGAAGGCATCACCCCACATGAGAGAAGAGTGAAAAGAGGCTGAGGACTGATTCTGATCTGGGAGAAATAAAAGCTGAGGCAGGTGTGGATTAGGGAATTTGGCTTCTTCAAGGTTTTGCATTTTCCAGCAGGACCCCTGGGAACCTGTTTCTAGTAGGGGATATAATTGACATCTGGAGTCCTATTTGCATGTGAGGTCAGTTTTTAGATGCTGGAGATATTTAAACATATGTTCAGTCCAGAGGCACCTGGAGGGAACAGCAGCTTTCTGTGTTTGGAAAGGATGTGGAGAAAGACAGCTTCATGATGCGGGGTGGCATCATGCCAGGGCATCACCCTGGCACTTTTCGCCAGTTCAGCCTCCATTTCTCCTCCTTTGCCCTCTGACAATATCTGGATGCTCACATGGGTGGTTTCATTAGGGCAAGTTGAATCTGTTGTTTGCATTCTGATTAGTCGCTGATGGGGACCCAGGCTTGGCCCGTTGTCTGAGATGCCCTTGTTTGAGACTTTGAATCCTGAGAGAGTGACGAAACATTGGGGAAAATGGGTGGCAGTCACGCGTCTCAGCTGCTGTTCCCTAACCAGATGCTGGCACCTTGAGAAGGCTCTCCTGGTTCTTGTTTCCAAGCTCCGGGAGATGTCTTAGATGTTCTTGTACCAGTTAGAGTTTGGGTGGCAGCTACAGTACTGACTGTGGCTTTCTTAAGTAAGAGTGAGGTCTCTCTCGGAAGGATACGGAAACTAGACGTTGGTGGGAGGCTGGAGAACCAGATTCGGAACCTGGGCACGGATCAAGGCTGTTCTGGAGGGTTAAGAAAGAGGTAGTGTGAAAATAATATTTCAGCGGAAATAGTCCACCAGGACAAATCGGCAGCTGCTGAGTGAGGCATGCTGCCCGGCCCCCACGGCTTCCCTGCAATTACTCCTAACTGTCCCTTTGTCTCTGTTCCTCTCTCCAGATTCAGAGTCTCAGACGGGAGGGTGGGGATTGCCAACCCCGAGTCACATGTCTGCCCGCTGATTGCCCGGAGCTGGGCAAGAAGAGGGAAGACCCTTCCCTGGCCTTTTGGCCTCTGTAGTTAAAGGTGAGGCAACTCACGCCACACCTGACGGCACTGCCCCAGAATAAGAAAGCACATTGGATTCTAGGCAGCCAAAGCGGGGTGAGCCCACCTTGCTGCTGGGTTCCACTCTAGGTCTCCCCACCTTTGTATGGATTCTGCAAACTCCTAAGTTCTTTCTAATAAATCCTCTCTGTTGACCAACCAGAATCCTGCATCTTGGACTTAAAGGTCCCTAACTGAAGTATGTCTCATCGCTCCCACGTGAACTCTGTTGAGTGCATCCTTGAAGTTTGAGAATCTTGAAGTCTGGACTCCCAGTTTGCTCTTGTCCCATTGGCTTGGTTGTATAGGGAAATAAATAACACGCTTGTCTCTGGCTGACAGCAGTTTAACAAGGATGCCCCTGAGGAACATCTTCCACCTTCTTGGCCCAAGAGCCAGCTGTTCACACTGAGGTCAGATCCCTGGCGCGTAGATGTGGGGCCGTGGAGTGAGTCCTCGTGGCCAGTCCCTTCGAGTTTGGTCCACTTAAGCTTGAGTACTCTTCTTCAAAGAGCTCATTGTTGCAGGGGTCGGTGGGGGGAGGCAATTTCACATGACAATGAGCATGACACCACTTTGCCCGAGGTGGGCACACCTTGCTTCCCCGCACTTCACTCTGCCCCGCTTTGCAGGTACTGAAGGTTTTTTTTACAAAATGAAGGTTTGTGGCAATGTGCGTCAAGCAGGTCTTTTCCCAGTAGCATTTGCTCACTTTGTGACTCTGGGTCACATTTCAGTAATTCTCGCAGTATTTCCTACCCCTCCGCCCCATAAAAAGATTATGACTCACTGAAGGATCAGGTGATGGTTAGCATTTTTTCTAGCAGTAAATTACGTTTTAGTTACGATCTATACATTATACCACTTATTATTTATAACTAAGATGATTGATTTCTTGAATATGTGCAAGCACATTTGACTGTCCTTTATGACTGTGTTACCACATTCTGTTGATTCTTATTTTGTGCTTGGCTTTATTCCTTTGATGACTATGTAAGTTTAAAAAGCTAAAGCGCTAATCTGTTCTTAGAAACAATAATCAGTACATATATGTAAACTAAAAAATGTGCAGTATATTGTATATGTGTATTTACATGCAATATAATGTGTATGTGCAGTCGAACCATAATAATTCTACCTAATAAAACTGAAAAAGGGAAAAAAGATATATACATTGGGTTTTTAAAGATATAATGCTATTGTACACTTAATAGACTATGGTATAGTGTAAGCATAACTTCTGTATGCACTGGAAAACCAGAGAAATTTGTGTGACCCAGTTTACCGTGATGTTTGCTTTCTGCAGTGTATCTCAGAGGTAGGCCTGTACTGTGCTGTGGTTAAGGACTTAGCACCTCCGGGGAAGGAGGTGGGGAGCCGGGTGGAGGCCAGAACTCGCCCAAGCTGTGCGTAGCACGTTCTTGTGCACGTAAGCTTGCTGTTTTGGAGCAGAGGGTCTGTGTTTTCCAGGAGCCCACAGTGGCCCAAATACCGCAAAAGGCTGACTTGTTTCCTGAGCTCTGAGCTTCTTAAAAATGACCTTTTAGATAGCAGCGATGGTCGTGTCACTAAAATGTACTCAAAGTCATTGAGTTGTATGCTTTACATGGGTGGAGTGTCTGGCAATTGAATCATATCTCCAAAGAGCTGTGAAAAGCAGACCTTTTAGGGCTGAACCTTTTTTTCAGCTGGGGGCAGCTGAACAGTGGCTCATCCTGGGTCTTCAGCGAGCGTGGGTGCTGCTGGGCTCGTGTGAGGCTGCCTGTTGTGTGTACTGCTTCGGCTCTGGATACACCCAACTGCAATGAATTTGTGGTCTTCTAAGTGAATTGTTTGGCCCCTAATCCTGGACTGAGGACCATGGCTAACTCCATGGTGGGTAAAAGCTGATTCTCATTTTATCTCTTGCGCTATAAATTGTGGTGTCACGGCAGCAGTGAGGGTTACCCAGGTCCCACACTTAAATACCCAGTTCCCTCCAACTGTGTTTCGTGGCCAGTTAAGTGATTAAGTGTTGCGGGATTGTTAAGGGTTATTTGGGGGGAAGTGCTGAACAGCGAACTTGAGACTATTGTGTTGAAATTAAAGCCAAAGCAGAAGAAAAAGGAAGCCAGGCCCCCCACTTGAGGTCCCAAGAAAGCATCAGAAAACACGGTCAATGTCAAAAGCATTAAGTAAAAAGAACCCAGGTGTACCTTGCATGCAGCCATCCAAGTGCAAGGCTGACCGTGTCCTGTTCCTGGTTAATTCTCGGACGGCTTTCCATTGCAGCTGCAGAGAGTCTGTGCCCATTGCCACCGCATGGGTGTTGGATTAAGGCCACATCCCAGTGTGGAGTCCACCCTGATCTAGTATGACCCCGTCTTAACTTTACTGCATCTGCAGAGATCTGCTTTCCACATTCACACATTCCAAGTGGACATGACGTTTGGGGGTGGGCACAGTTCAGCCCAGCGTATGAGCTCCTCCTTCACCTCTTCCCGCCTCACTCAGTAGCTCGTGCATCCTCTCACTTGCCTGCTCTGTAAGCCAGAAAGTCATTGCAACATTCTCTCTTCAAACCCTTTCATTCTGCTTCTGAAACATATCCTACCTGTATCTGCCTTTCTCTCTCCTTCCCGATCACCGTGGTGATTCAGCTAGCTAGCATCCGCTACCCCTGCCCCGGCATCCCCGCTGCCCCCGCCCCGGCGTCATCTTGTGCTCCAGCTGCGACGACAGGCTTTCAGTGCCTAGAATACACTTTCCATGTCCTTTCCTTAGCACATGCTCTGTCATCCTTCCCCTCACTGCCCTCTCCACACCACCCCCACCCCTGCTGCTGCTGTGCTTTTACTGAAGAATTTACCCATTAATTAGGTGTTTGCTTACATGTCGCTTTCTTGAAACATTTCTCTGACCCATAGCCTAAGTCGGGTCCCCCTGGCGACCTCATTATACCCTTTATCTTTCTGTGTGGCACTGTCCCTTGCAGTTGTGCTTTTGTGATTGCCTGTTTAATCCATATAGACCCTATTAGACTCTGAGCCCCGTGAGGGCATAGGTCACCTTTTTCATAGCTGTGCCGCCTGTGCCGTGGAGAATGCCTGGCAAAGAATAAAGGCTCAAGTATTTGAATGAATTAATCCTGGCCATCACCTCCCGTCCCTCCCCTGTCCTCAGTTAATTGTTCATCCGTTGAATGTTGAGTGTCCGCTGTGTGCCTGGCCTTGTGCAAGGCAGTGGAGAAAATAAATGTGTAACCTAACCTCCTTTTGGTGTTATGCCTGGGTTCTCCCTTTTTACATACACTGACCCCTGGCTGGTCGGAAGCAGACCTCAAGCTATAGAAAAGGATGAGCAAGCTGATGTATACCTCTTTGCTCCGGGCCCGTGTGACCTATTTTTCTGTGCTGTTTTTCCTCTACCCTCTTATATTCAGTGCATAGGGTCCTGCAAATTAAACAGACAAAAGACAGATTAACAGGAGAAAAAGGTTTACTTCATATGCTTGAGGGTGGGGGAGGTGTCTCACAGAAATGAAGGGAAAACCCCAAAGAGATGTTGAGACCTGGAGGCTTATGTACCATTTTAATAAAGAATGATACATTCAAGGAGAATTGACAAGATGAAGGAAAAGGGGGAGTAAATTGTTGGAAGGTGAATAGATGTGGGAAACTAGTGGAAGATCAGGGTCACTTTAGTAATTGTTATGCATGTTCCTCTGATGCCATCTCTGGGCTGATGGGAGTCCAGAGTCCTCTCTGGTGACTAAGAGTGGTTCTGCCCTTCCTCGTACGAGAAGAGGGAGGGGGACACCTTCCCAAGGGGACATCTAAGCCCTGCGTAGGAAAATAGGAGGAAGCTAGGGAACTTTATTTTCAGTCTGATGTTTCTCCATTGTCTTTGGCTCAAAGCGATCCTTACGTGAAATCAGCATATTTGGGGGGCATATTCTGATCCCCTTAGCTTGTTCAGGTTCTGTGCTGCTGGGTCCCTAGTGTGTCTGTGAGACTTCTCATCGTCAGGGATGAATCCAGGAGGCCAGGGCTCTGCCTCCAGGAACCCAGTTCTGGAATCCTGGCATGACTGGCAGTGGTTCTTCCCAGAGTCTAGCACTGGACCAAACACCTTGCATGTTGATTTTGTGCATACCCCATTGAAAGGCACAGATTACTTTCTAGGTAAGAAGTTGAAGCCTGGAAAGAGTTTCACACTGAGCGCCCAGCCCTCAGGTCTGGCCGGGGAGTTTGACTCCAGACGATGCTTCCAACTGCGCTGCTGTCGCCACCTGGGTTCTCTGGGTAGCAGACTGAGCCAGAGTTACTGCTTGGGGAGTTTGTTGGGGTGTGTTCTGGCGTCCCCTCTGTGGAAGGGAGGAGGCGCAGCAGGGAGGGACAGAGGGGGACGTCATGCCCCACAGCTTCCATTGACCCCGTGGCTTCCTGCAAAGGGCAGAGAATATGCCACTTCGCATACTGGTTATTTGGAGCCAAAAACAATTCAGAAGGAGCAGATACAAGAGATACTGTCTACCCTCCCACTACTTGCCTAAAATAAGACATAAATTTGTAAAGATGTCCCCCTTCCTCTCTCTACCAGGAAGGACAGGAGTCAATCCCCTGGAGACCACTCAGCTTTCATCAGAGGAATCTACACCCCAAACCACCGCTTACACAGTTTGCTGCCCTAGCGACTCAAAGTCCTTTCCTCTGTCCTGTCATTTCTCTAAAAATGTCTTGTTCCTTTATTAAGATGCTGTATAAACTCAAGTTCTAATCACCCCCCTCCCCTGAGATCCTTATCGCTGAGTGCTCCCTCCCATGCATATGCAGAATACATTGTTAATAAGCTTCTGTTTGTTTTTCTCTTGTTAATCTGAATTCTGTCCATCTCATTTGCAGGACCCCAGCCAATGACCCTAATATGAGTAGATAGTAAAAAGAATAATTTTCCTTCCCTACACTTGGGAGCTGAAATGGCCCATGAGAGTGCCCCATGTTGGGTGAGAATGACCAGGGCCTCATACGCCTGTCATCGGTCATGGGAGGTGGTCATCCCCGGGAGGCCATGACGGCGGGCCTCCCTGCAGCACAGGAAGTCCTGCAGGGCCTGAAGCGCCACCGGCAGAGGGGGCAGCCGGTCCTTCCTGGAAGGGGGTGGTGTTGAGTTTCCATTGCTGCACTCCCCTGCTATTCTCTTTCTTCTCGTGTGTGATTCTAAAACTTCTCACAACATATCCATAAGTGGGATTTTCCCCCAACTTAGGTAGTTGTTGGAGTTCTTGAAAGTTAAAAATTACTAATCATTTTAAGGAGATCTGGATGAACTGGCCATATGGTCCCAAGCTCCTAGATGAATTTCTTCCTGAAGGCTAGAGGCCGTCTGCTCGGTGTGGCAGACAGGGCTGGGTTGCAGGTTGCAGATCAAAGCCCCTGATAAGGGCAACTTAAAGGGGATTTCTTGCCATTAGGGGCAGAGCTAAGCCTTTCTAGTTAGCACGATGAACAGAAAAGGGGCATCAGGGTGTCAACGAAAAAGTAATCAGTTGCTCTAAGAAAGAAATGGAAAATTTTATTCGAGCCAAATTTGAGGATTACAGCCTGGGAAGAGCATCTCAGAAAGATATGAGAACTGTTCCACCAGTTGGAAATCAAGGCACAGTTTTATAAGTTTTTTGAGACAGAGGGCTATACATCAATTGACATATTATGGACTGTTTACATAATCCAGGTCTAAGTGTCATCTGGTGGGTCATGTGACCCCTTATAATCTCAGGAAGGAGTGTTATCTTTTTTGCTCTTTATGATTGAGCAGGTATTCCTGCCAATGGGGAAGGTTTGGTAGATGCATAAAGCAGATATACACCAACACCACAGAAATACAAAAAAATCATAAGAGAATACTATGAACAACTATATGGCAATAAATTGGACAACTTAGAAGAAATGGACAAGTTTCTAGAAACAAACAGTCCA